AGTTGATTAGAGCGAAACTGGTTAGGATCCTATGGTTCCCTCATTCTGGTACCACAATTTTCTACTGGATTCACTTAGTCCAAATGAATTAACTAAACTCAACTTAATGAGTTCCATACTTTTATTTAGATCGTGGGAAGTCTCGTTAGCAACCGTAGGTTACCTACCTCGAGGGATTCTTGATCATTTGATAGAGACATCTTAATTTAGTTGCAATTGTTGTTTCATGATGTTTGTGATTAAATTTTAAGTTGTCTTATATTTTGAATGTTATGGGGTGAATTTTATCTTGGTTGATTTTAATGTTGATTTTGGTTTTAGTTATGGTTTTGTGGCTATCCTAACAGTTTTGGTTTTCATGTAGGGTGACATTTTTGTTTAGCATGCAAGTTTTGTAAGCATAAAAAAGTACAGTATAAAAGTACAAGAAAGACGACACTGTAAATTATAAAAAAACATACCTGACGAGTCTTCTCGTACCACCACCTGAAACTCAAAATGTACCTGAGAGCACTTTATATAAAGCAGAAAAGTAAGGTTTTAGTGATCTACCCAACCTTAGGTCATATCTTTGTGGGTCCCTATTAATTTGATTAGTATAGAAACAAAAATTAAGGTTTTGGTATTTTTACTAACTATATGTCATATCTTGGTGGGTCCATAAGAGTTTAATTAGGGATGATTTTGTTAAGAAATACATATTAAGTTTAGTAAATTTCCGAGGTATCCAACAGATCTATAGAAAGAAGCAGGTCCGTGCTACTCTCTCACTGCCTGGTAGAATATCCTGAGTTCTTTTAAACTTATTATGTTGCTTAATAATTCATCCTATAAAACGTCCTAATGCTCAATGAACATTGATGTATCAATTATCCCTAAGAATAGGTTAATTATCACTTGTGATTCAATTTAAGAATTATGTGGGTGAAGACCCTTAAATAGGCAAGTTAGTGTTGTTGGAACACTTAACCAAATTTTGATCTTTAATTGGGCTTGCAGTGTTTGAAAGATGTTTTAATTTTCAATGATATTTTCTTTTCTAATCCTCATTTAAATGAAACTTGATTTAGCCTAAGTCACTACTAAGCTCTTAAGATATAGGTGAGTGTCTTAATTAGCTTTGAAAATGTGAAGCTTTAGGTGGTCATGATTCTTGGCTTGAATTTTATTTCGAAAATCAAAATAAGGGTATTAAATTGATTAATTATTGACATCAAAAGTCATACCTCTAAGTCCTAGATTCATTTTATTTTAATAAACTTCCAAATTTTAATAATTTAGAAATTTATTAACTTAATTAAGAAAGTAAGATTGGTTTTTATCAATTAACCCTTATGTTTCAAACATCAAATAAATTGATTAAG